AAAAAGCAGTCAAGAGGTCTCTAACGTCAACGCTCTCTTCTTGTCAGATCTCGAATACATTGAAGGTACAGCAGAGACAGACTGTGTGTTTCTTCACCAGACGTTCCTGGGAGAGTAGCAACGACGTTAATACAACATCAAATTGAAGACAATTAAGACACGATGATAGACTGCAATCATGGCAGTAGTCCAAATACTACCCGTTCGAGGTATAACCCTACCCCTCAAATATCCTCAATTGCACATTTTCTTCTTGGTTTCCTCCGCTGCCCCCCCCCCCTCCTTTTCCGCTATGAACGTCACAGACGTACATGGCAGGCGACAACGATCCCGTCCACCGGCTCAGCCAGAGGGATGTAAACGACCGCGTCTCTGACACCATCACCCACTGGTCTTGCTCTACTCGAGAGGTGCTATACCGAGTGGACAACGGCCTCGACCTTCGGACGGGATTGCCGCCCTCCACTTGATCGGTCGAAGGACCGACCACCACGTGGCTGGAAAAAATCAATCCGCGGGTGGGTGTGGTTCGTGCCCGGTGTTTCTTTGTGTTGGTGGCAAGCTGCTCGCTGTTTGCGTGTGTGAGACGTCTGTTGTTACACCTCAGGACGCTTAATCACCAAAACAACGACAACACCAGCCAGTGCAAAGGCTCTGGAAACAACGCCCGCTGTCTCTCGACTTCTCAGCCCGAAACACGCCATCAAAACGCGCATGTTTCAAGTGTTGGCACCAGACGAAAAACGCTCGCCCCCTCCTGCCGACGCCACCTCCCCGTTGGCAGCCAAGGGCATTTTGCGGTGCAACTGTACATGACCCAGGGGCCTTGGAGTGAGAGTAGAGACTACGTACCGGAGTATAGCAAGTAAGTGTGGAACTAGAACAAACGAAAAAATATATGTATCACGATTAACTCGAGCACTATTAGGAAATTGTACGTAAATTCAAATACTAGTGTTTTGTGAGAAGAAAAAAATACAAGTAGCGTTCGAGTAGTTGCTGCTGTACCCCCCTGCGTTTTTTGTTTTTCGAGTCGATCTTGATAGTGTTCAGCCTTGTTGCAGATTATGGGGGGAGGGAACCTCCCATTAAATCAGAAAAAAGTATTTGTTGAAAGACAGGACAGCCTGGCCACGTGCATTAGTTTGGTGTCCGTTGCCGTCTCCACAGGGAAGGATTTCCGAACGAGTTTTTAAGTGAAGATGGCGCCCAATGCGCGAAAGATAGCGGTTGAATTGTATGCGTCTTTCACGAACGAATGGCCGTTAGTTTGGCTGTGAAGCATTCCTTCGTGTGCGTGCTGAGTCGACCACGCTGAAATTCTTTGGAATGAAATTTGTTGAAAGGTGACGGTGAGCGAGTTAGTTTTGCAGGAGGGAGGTGATTGGCGCCATCGTGCCAGAATCGTTTGGGGGAAGGAAGTACACACGGTATCGCAGGACGAGATTTGTTTCTTGTAGGCGTACGTTGAACCAACAGTTAACCTGTTTTAGAAGAACATGGTGACTGGTAGGGTGCGGTATTATTAGCCAATGTTCGGGCGTTGTAATACCCTTACGAAAGGTGGGCAATAGCCAGCACGCCCACCACAAGTGGGCGCAACACTTTCTCTCGGTGAACAGCCTCCGTAAAAAAAAGGGGGTGCTGTTGTAGTTCTTAGGACAGGCGCAATTGGAACCCAACCCCTCCAGCGATTTGGAACACGGATGTTCCGATCGCGTTGTTCCCCGGCAGCGAAAACACGGACCAAACTTGTTTTTTGGTGGTAGGCGTTTGACGACACGGCGGCACACGCAAGCAGCAACGGGGAAAAACAGAATCTACGCATTGCTTCAACCCGCCACTTCGCAAGCTTGCGTCGAACACAAACAAGTGCGCAACGTCTGTTCAGCCTTCAGATGTGACAGCGGTATACCTCGCGGCGAAAGAGGAACGAAAACATCTTCTTGACAACAAAAAAGGCCGACTCGTTACTTCGGGTGTACCAGCCAGCCAATGCATCCCTCCATGTAAACTATTTCAAACGAGCCATCCATGCAACATGTTGCGCATAGGTGTGACCATCTTCTAGCTGCACAAACAACCAGCCGCCGTTGATGCAAAGGATGAAAAATTAAAAATTAAAACTCGCAAGAAAACAAACAACTACACTTCATAAAACCTTCGACTGCTGTGGTTTTATCTCGAACGTGTAGTCTTAACTAAATATTTCTCTGTGCTTTTTGTGTTTTCCCAAAAAACCTTGCGGACATGTAAGTGTTGTCAAGAACGATCACCACTAGAATCGCGGCGATTCCGCAAGTACCTAGTTTGGCAAAAAAAGCCTCGGCAAAAAAAAAGTCGCCCGCCGACTGTTCGCGTTACGCAAGTCTCGTGGTGTTTGACTTGGACAACACTTTGTCGCAACCAACGACGCAGGCACGCTCAAAGGAAAGCGGACCTCGGGTTGGAGGCAGGCCTGCGTGGGAGCAGGGCAATTTGTTCTAAAAAACCTCGCGGACTTGTGTACCACCAGCCCATCTAGGCCGTCCTTCACTCTTCGAACAAGCCTCCTCCCGACCTCTCCACCGCCGGAGCAAGGCCGCCCAAAACATCTTGCAACCGCCCCTCGCTGCGATGCCTGCGGACCACGTCGCCCCCCTCTTCCTCCTCCGCCAACAAGCCGCCGCCGCTGATAGGCAGCAGGCGCCTCGAGACAGAGGACAGGCTGCGTGCCCGCCCCGGTGATGTTGGAGATGCGCCTACCGCTGTGGTTTTGCGGGCGGAAAACGTGACGGGGTGCTGGATCATGCTGTTGTGGTTGTGGTTGCCGTTCTACATGCACAACTATCGTCATGCGATTGCTTGTGTTGATGGCCACACGGCAAGACAGCAGTCAGTCAATCATCAAGACAACGAGGTAGGAAGTGTCCGTGCTCCGGCCGCCGACTGGATAGAAAGATGGACAGAAAATGATCGCGTTCCTCCAATCATCGTACAAAACAGTTCGCTTTTCCGGCTCCCACACTGCAGTAGAATTTACGTAGTGGCACATGTGGTCTGCGCTTTTCCCATTGTGAGCGCTGGCAACGAAAGAGTACCGGACATCCGGACGAAGGATACACACACGTGTCCGCAAGCTTTCCCTACGGGCGGAAAAGTATCACCAACTTGCAAGGCATTCAGAAACCATGCCCGTCCGTTGGCAACCGCCTGGTAGGTGTGCCATGCGGGCTCTTGTCTAGACTAGTGCTTCAGCTCTCGCCCCGTCAAGGAGTACACAACGTCTCGACTGCTGGGCTCTCGTCCACCTACTGAAGCTGCGTTAGCCTCGCGCGTCGCACGCGGCGATCCCACAAAACTAACCGTTGCTGGCTTGCGCCGTCGCCAGCCGGCCTTCTTCTCCGCCCGGTCGCAGAGACCCCCGCTCCGCCCCGACGATGTCGTTGCCACCACGGCAAGGCACGGGAAGACTGATGCTCGAAGCGAAAGCGCCGCCGGTGTGCACCCGCAACACCCTCTTCGTCACAACGCTGCTCGACTGCCCTCCCACAGCAGCAGAAGCGCTACCGCCCGGGGCAGCGGTGCTACGCCCGGGGATGGCGGCTACTGCGTCCCCGGTAGAGGCCGTGCGGCTTCCGGGAGGAGTCGGGATGATAGGGTGAAAGTGGCGGGCGTCGGCCCCTCCTATGGACAGGCGCACCCGCTGTCCGATTACGTTTGGATAGTTGGAGAGTCGTGTGGGGTGCACAGCAGAACGAAAACGTTGAAGGCCAGGGGGGG